CTTGATGAACAAATTATTCAAACTGAAAGCCTTTACTAATGTACATTGTAACAACAGACAATGGAAACCACAATGATCAATCATGGAGGGCTGTATTCAAAAATCACTGAAAATCAAGGTGGAAAAAGTGAAATCACTGGCTCATCCAAGTTATGTGAATGTCATCAACTAATAATGTCACTCAGAAGTGTGTATGGCCCCTGCGTGTCTGTATGCACTCCTGACAATGCTTGGGCATTCTCCTGATGAGTCAGCGGAGGGTGTCCTGGGGGATCTCAGACCTGGGGGTCTGTGTAGTCCTCCAAAGATATGCCTCCCCAAACTGTCACTGGCTCACCACCAAACTGGTCATGCTCAGTGATGTTACAGGCAGTATAACATTCACCACAGTGTTTCCAGACCCTTTTACATCTGTTGCATGTGCACAGTGTGAACCTGCTCTCATCTGGGAAGATAACGAGGCACCAATGTCAGACCTGCCAACTCTAGTATTTTCTGGCGAATGCCAGTCAAGCTGCATGGTGCTGGGCTGTGAGCACAGGTCGTACTAGAGGGCATCGGGCCCTCATGCCATGCTCATGGAGTCTGCTTCTAACAGTTTGGTCAGAAACATGCACAACAGTAGCTGCTGGAGGTCATTTTGTAGGGCCTTCGCAGTGCTCCTCCTCTTCCTCCATGCACAAAGGAGCAAATACCAGTCCTGCTGCTGGGTTGTGGTCCTTCTATGGCCCGGTCCAGCTGTCCTGGTGTAATGACCGGTCTCCTAGTATCTGCACGATGCTCTTGAGACTGTGGTGGGAGACACAAACCTTCTTGCGACTGCATGTATGGATGTGCCGTCTTGGAGTAACTGGACTACCTCATGCTACCAGCAGTGACAAGGACAGTAGCAAAACACAAAACCTGAGAAGAATCAGTCAGGAAGGATGAGGAGAGAAGGTTTGTCTGTGGCTACCACATGCAAACTCATTCCCTTTCTGGGAGTTGTCTTGCTTTTGCCTCCCCATTGCACCTGTCATCACTTTCATTTGCACCAAAGCAGGTGAAAATGATTCACAATCACTTGTGCTTCCCGAATGGACAGATTGATGTTCCTGAAGTTGAACTGGCTTGCTGTTATACAGTGATGATCAAGTGTTCCTTCAATTTTTTTTTTTTTGAGCAGTGTATATTTACAACCTCTATTCCGATTTTAGCAGGGAACCTATTTCAACAATGCATTCACAACACAGAATGAGAGGAGCTCCTTCCAAGTTCTGCACTTGGCTTCAAAAGAGCGATCCTAATTTCATTAGTGGACTACACAGGATCTGAGCTGATGCCAGGTGACTAAACCACTTACTTGCGCTGATGAGGTACATCTCACTGCATGTCCTATTCTAGTATTCATTTTGCTTTCAATCTCTGATATACATCTTTTGGTTCATGACAGGAATATTAATTTAGAACAAATGGCCTATGGTATCTGCCTCTAAAAATACCTGCCAGACTGCTTGTTGTCTTCCATCTTCTGATGAAGAGCTATGAGTGAGTGATGCATGAACATTTGTGAATCTTAGACTGGTTGTAAAAGTCAAATGACCTTCTACTACATTAGGACTGCTCAGTATTTCCCCAAATGTAGTTCAGGTAATGAATTATGAATTCAACTGCATAGGTTCTATGTTCCTACAATAATCTCATTAAATTGAACTGAGCTGAATGTGAGACAGTGAGTGTTTGTTCTGCTCTTCTGTGTTACCTAATGAGACACTGCTCACTCCACGATATGAAACCACCCAAGGTGCAACTGCCAATGAAAACAGATCTAAATAGCCCCTATATTTGTGTGTCTCCTTAATTACAGCGACATGAATTTGAAATTAAGAGATAGTCTGCAAAAGTACTCGGTAGGCTAATCACAATTCTATGTTTAATGTAAGCAGTTTCCAGGACAAAAATAATAAAACGGCATAAATAGTTATTTTGAAAGCAGAGAAGAAACACACAGACTAAAACCCTCAAGCTAATTTATCCCTTTATCATGAACACACAAACACTGTCTCATTGTTTCTGCAGATTTTAGAATGACAACGTACTATAGGATAGTTTCAGCGCCGGATTACATGGCTAAACTAAATGTCCAGTGTAACAGAGGAACATGTCCTCCAGTGCAACAGTGTTTCTCACTGATACGTTATTAGGCGAAGTGTAAAGTGGATAAAGGCATTAGGTAAATCCAGTCTGACTGATTTCTAAAACTGCCCAAAACAGTCAAATGGCAATGTATTAGGTACATATAGCTCAATCTAATAATCTAGGCATGATCATGATTCTGATCATTCCCCTATGATGTGATTTCATAGCAACAGCAGCAGGTCAAGGTGTAGGCTAATTGAGCTAAATGGAGAGTGTGACCATTGTTGACCCTCCTGAGGACCTTTTATTCTGGGCCAGATCTCCAAGGTGTGGAAGTAGAGCAGCCATTCCATTTCCAGTGAGCCAACGCTGTCATCATCCTCCACTTAGCTCACTGTAATGTCATTTAAGCAGATAAAAATGGCCTGTTCTTCAGTGTTTATTTGGCTTTATGGACATTTTATGAAAAACTTAATATAGCTCACTAAATACCATGCTCACATATGCCAGAAAATAAATGGTGATGTTGTTGTTGTGAACAATTGATGGCTGATAAAACTGATGATGCTATTTATGTTTCCCTTTAGGCCAGTTGTGCTTCATCAGGAGCCCTATAGTGTGAAATAATGGTTGATTTCATTATTTCCCATGGTGGGAAGTAGAGAGCTAATCTCCACTGATAGAAGCTGCGCTAGAAGTTTAGCATTCTGTCCTGCCGTGTTCTCTCATCTGCTAAAAGGATGAGATCAGCATATCCTGACAAATAAGCTGAATCAAGACAGGGGGGGAAAGTGTTGGCTGTACTTTGGTAAACACATCTCTTCAAAAAACATTAGACACACCATGTCTCCAGATCGATCAGAAGGCAAAAACCTACATAGCATTTCAGTTGTAACACACTAAGTTATGTTGGGAAGTTGGACAAAGGTTCCATCAAGTAAAAGCTGTTTCATTTTTCTCAGGTTGAAGCTGGTGAAAAGCTCCAAACATGGCCTGAAAGTCACAACCATTTGTCTGCATACTCCCATGTTACATCCAACCATAATTATAGGTATGAAATCTCATGAAAAACAATCACACACCTCCCACTTGTTGAGGATATTTATTATTTACTTAGTGACAGGATGAAGACTAGCAGAGAAGAGCCAGTGGGCTGACATAAAATCACCATTTCATCTCTCCCCTGAGCACTGCCACTTTAAGTAGTTAGATGCTGAAAGGCTTTTGCCGTCAGAGCCTAGAAATGAGCAGGTGGTGACGGTCTTTGTGTGCTGTCATCGCTAATTCACCAGCAGTGGAATCCCTTCAAGTAATACGCATCAAACGCAGCTCTGGCAACTCAAAGGACCAGAGGAGACGATACACACATTACAGGGACATACACATACACATACACACACACACACACACACACATACACACACGCTTTATTTACAAAGGAGGTAATTCACATTAATTGCTCACTCTTACTCCTCTGCTCTCTCACTTACAAACACACAGTCTGTTTACTGACCCTAGTCATGTCTTGCCTTCATTCATCCCAATATAACAATTGATTTCTGAGACAAGTCGGTGAAAAATAAATAAAGAGAAATCTGTCAAGAGACTGAGTGAGTGAGTGACTGACTGAACTGACTGAATGACAAATGAAACGTGTAGAATTAACTGGTATTACCAGAACACTTCAGAGGAGTAAAGCACACTGGTCTACAGTGAACAGATAAATAAATAAATAAATTCTGCAATAAATTCTACTGTAAGGCATCAATAGAACTACAGGCACAGAAGTGACCCTGAAGTAGAATAACTTCTTTTCTGCCACAGTATCAGCGACAAATAAAAAACAATGATGGACTCCCAGCTGAAACAAAAACCATAACTGGAAAGTGAGAATATATGAGGTTAGATTCATTGAGGGGCCACAGAATTGGGGAAGTGCATTTAAACTACAGAACTTAAACTATGACTACTTTGACTGTTTTCAGTGATGCAAAAGATTTAGGCCAATGCAAAGCAGAGAAACTGTCTTGTATGTGTTTTGTGCTATTTCAGATAATTATTTCTACCAGATGAATACAAAACAAGTTACGCTGGGCTGAAGGAACTCTTGATTGCCCCTGTTCAATCTCAGACCATTAGAGACCACAAAAGTACTAGGATCACTAAGGTTTGCTGCAGCACTGTAGATTTAGAGCATTTTAAATCTGGATACTCCCTCACTAAGGTTGTTTCAGATACAGCATAAAGGAATATATATAAACAATATTGGAGGTAAATTACTATCATCACTGCAAAGAGTGTATTTCTGTCAAACTCAGGGTCAGACTGAAGGGCAAACATCTACTTTGTTAACACAAACTGAGAGATCTCCACCCTCTGCTTAGAATATCTGGAAACCAAACAGGATTGAACTTTCCCTGGTTACTGACCAAAGCCTCTTGTGCCTCTGCCCCTCTCACATATCCACTGAAATCAAAATTATCCAGCTTAGTTTCATAATACATTCAAATTACGTGCTTATACAAAGATCCTGCTTGGTTTTTAAACATCAGTCATTTTTGGGAAACAGTGCTATCTGACAACCCTTGAAATTTGCTAGGCAGTGCACGCACCACATGCATCATGGTGGGATGTCTACAGGTAACGTCTCTGACAAAAACCATCTGCAGCCCAGTGATAACAGACGCCTAACCACAACGCACAGCAACAAATATCTCAAGAAATTTCATAGAGTCTAGATAGATGCTTTAATCACACAGTTTTTGGATGTGATTTAATGTGCCGTGAAACGTCAGTGTACTAATCACTGGCCCGCGCGTGTCAGCTGCACGCCCTCAACAACAAGGTTAACTGAGAAACAGGAAATGTTGGTACCCACTGACCTGAATCGTGCAGGTGTACTCCGAGTCGTCCAGCAGCCTCACGGTGCAGTTGCATTCCCTGTCCAGACTCCTGATGCTGCTGCTCATCAGTCGGCTTAGCATCTTCTCGGTCGTCTGCGTACGGGACCAGGGAGAAGGGCACACAACACATACATACAAGTTTCTCCCCTGTCACGTCAACGCCGTCCCTGTTCTTTGGTCCAACACCTGGTCAGCTGCAGCGACAGTGCGGCGCGCTGGAGCATCGTTTTATCAGTGTGAGCGCAGACTGGTCGACGTACCACACGGCGCGTTTCTTCAGACAGTGAGGATGCTGCTGCTGCTGCTGCTGCTGCTTCTCTGGTCCAGTTAAACTGTCTCCTCCTCACCACACCTTCTCCCCCCGTCTCCTCGCCGTTGCCATTCCGCTCTCAGTGCCGCTAAGGCGGTTTGGCTGTTGAAAGACGAGTCAGCCAGCCAACCGGGCAGTGACTGAGATGCTGCCTTCACTGAGCCAATGACAGGAGCCGAAATTCCGACGCGCTGCTTTGTTGTAACCAAAACCACTTAACGCAGGCGTCCCTGTATCTTCCCATGTCAAACAACACTCACGCGTCATTATGCAGTTGCAGGAGTAGACGAAGGAATTGCTGACACTCAGTCCGGCTCTATTTTGCCGTGAGACGCATAAGCTTTTAAACGCATGCTAAACACACATGCATACTCTGATTAATGCAAAGGCCTAACATTAACTCTCATATACGTAAATAGCCATTATAACGATAAAATACATGACCTCAATATTCTTGAAGCAGGGTTATGCGCTCTATCACCTAAACATCACATTTCTGTATCCAATTATAATTTTGCGGTTAGCACCTGCTTATACTTCAGACAGGGATGAAGGCATCAGCAAATTCTTTCATTACACCTTCCACAGGCTGATTTTCGACACGAAACGTTGTATTATTTTCTAAATGTAATACAGTTAAAAAGTACAATAATATACAGGACACTGGACGTAAACGCATTATTTATAACTAAAATTATATCTTAAAAATCTCCTTGGATTTCTCCTTCACATTTATAAACTTAGACCCCTGAGCTATCCAACAGAAAGATTTGATTGAGCTGTGGATTGAATGCCTTGCTCAAGGGTAGAGCAACAAACGCCATCCGGTTACAAAAAGCTGTGTATATAACCCATATTACTATGCTTCATCCAGTATTTGCCTGGAACATTTTGTGTCACGAATATCACAGAGACGAGTTTGAGTCAACCTGCAGCGTTTCTCTTGGTTGATTTGCTAGCGTCTCCCTCTGGTGGTGGTTCTTAGTAATGACAATGAAGTATACTTTCGCAAGGCACTATACATACATACATACATATATACATATACATATATACATATATATACATACATACAGTATATGTGTGTGTAAGTAAATGTAAAGTCTTCACAAGGAATGTGTGTAGCACCGTTTAGGAGTTTGAACCGTTGAGGAGTTTAAACAGTGTGTGTCCAGTATGTAATTGGTCAGCAGAATTCCTCTCTGTCTTCCTTTTGACCCATGAGGTGTACAGGTCCTCTATGAAGTGCACCAATGATCTTTTCTGCAGTCCTGACTGCTGGAGTCTGTTCCTGTCCTGTTTGGTTGCTGAGCCAAACCAGACAGAGATGGATGTGCAGAGAACAGACTCAATGATTCCTCTGTAGAATTGTATCAGCAGCTCTTGAAACAAATTGAACTTCCTGAGCTGGCAGAACTTGGGTTAAAATTTTTGACCACTGTTTTGAGTGTGTTCAGTTCGGTGTTGTTGAGACCAGGGCCAGCTGTTCAACCTGCCATCTAGTGATGGTCATACAAGGTCCTTCAAACCCTTTTGGACCATCCATCCATCCATCCGCTATACCACGTAGTCCCAAACAGGGTCACGGGGGGCTGGAGCCAATCCTGGATTGGTCACCAGTCCATCGCAGGGCTAACATGCAGACTAACCACACACACACACACACACACACACACACATTAATCTTAAAGATTTTAGATACATTTTAAATTCATTCATGAAAATAATTAATTTGGGGGGTGCTTTTAGAATTCTATTTTTATGTATGAAGAATTTAGCTAGAATCAGAATTACATTGTTTTTCATTACCATACCAAAGGTTATGTCATCTCTGGAGATAAGGTCTGGCAGTGCTTGAATTTGTTTCTTTATCTATTTATCAATATCAAGCCAGAATGTGTACGTAATATAACATGAGAAAAATACATGGTATGTTTTTCAATATTATTTTCGCAAAGTGAGCATAAATTATCATTAATGTTGAAACGTAATCTAGCCAACTCTTTAGAGGCTTAATTATCATTTAATGAAGGATTTAACTCGCAGGAAGAACAACCACATAACTTGTAAGCTCCATTCCCAATTTAGACGTCGTCTTTCTTCATCGACTGCTCATACAGTACTCAAGTGTGTTTTTAATTGTTGTTGCAGGGTTGAGAATTTTAGGGAACTGACACTGAACTGAGAACTCATTTCCAAAGAGCAGGTGTACACTGAAGTGACTAATCTGGTCTTTTTTTTGCAGGTTTCTGGCTAGGACTGCTTGTTTGGGTCAGTTTATAATCCAGCTTCTATATCACCACCATCTTCCATCTAAACTGGGAGAGTATGACAGAAGAGGTACATAGTGGAAATGAATTTCAACAGATTCACTTATAGAGGAAAACTGTGCTTTGAAGTGTAATTTGTTAATAGCAGAATATAGGAAATTGGAAGTTGTTTTTTGTAACTGTTTGTTGGCAGCCTGTGAAATAAGCTCAGAAAAATGCTCACATTATATTAGGCACAGCTGCCCTGTCAGATGCTGCAGGTAAGAACGCTGCTGCCCAGACAGCAAGTAACAAAAATGTAAGTCATCTGCTGAGCTTTAAACATGTAACAGAAAATCAAAATTTCTTTCATAGCTTGTCTCCTCTTGTTATCAAATGACATTTATATCCATCTATTTGGTTCTTCACATCCTTTGACTATGCTTGCACTTCTGGCTGTGGGAGCAAATGTGCACTTCCTTGTGCCCTTGCCAGAGACCAACTCTACTATGTATTGGATCACTCCTACATATACTCCTGATCAAATCTTCTCTGCTGCTCTGGTCCCAAATGGGTTAAATTGAACTTACAGTAAGAGTCCAAGATATCCACAGTGGTTTTTTTATGTTTAATTGCCTTATTGTCTTTGACAGAACGTGGCTGTGAAAAAAACATTGACTGTAAAAACCATGTACAGGCTAAGACCTAACAAAAGTGAAACCACAGTAACTCGCCCCCTGGTGGCTAACTGCAGTATTAGTCATACATCCCACCTTCTCTGTGTTAAATGATGGGACATGAGCCACACTAAAAACCTAAAGTACAAATCAAATACAATTTTCCCAGAGGTCACTTCTGTGGTTTTCAATTGATATTATCATGCTGATGTGTGTACAAGTGATAATTATTTCTTAAGCTTGTTTTTAATAAGTTATTTGATTATATAAAAAAAAGGTGTATTTCAGTTGAATCTGTTTGCAAAAAAGCAAGATGCCAGCTGCTGTATTCATTGCACCCTGCAATGCAAACATTTGCATCATACTGAGCACCTGTGGCTAACATTTACAGAACTGAATACAACAGATTCATGTTCCTGTAACCAAGTTGGAGATAGTTAGGTTAATAATGATTCCAGCAGCCAGGATGAATAGCATGACAGCCAGAGCTAGGCCTCTATGCAGAACAAGAATCCTGTGATAGAGCTCCTCCTCTACTGTTTATGCTGCTGGTCCTGCCTCAGCACCACCTTGTGGGCTCTCTGGATCATCTGGCTCCATATACAAATGTCACACATTTTCACTTCATCTGGAACCTTAAAATGACTAATCTGACATTTGTGTGAAAAAGGAGTAAACGGCATGAAAATATTTTTGACAGATTGTTTTGGACCACACTGTTCATCCTCTAGCTTTGTCAGACTACATACATAAGTGTCTGTCTCCCCCTGCAGGCTGGTCTGTAGAAACGCTGCAGGAGTGAGGCTCCTACATGAAACTGGCCATTCCCAGTAATGAAATGCTCTGAGTGGTAGGTTTATGAATTTGGCGGGTTCTTAGCAGGTAATCCAAATATATATATTTTTTGTCTGGTATTTTAGCTCATATTAATTCCTTTACTATTATTCTAGCTTTTGGAGAGGTCACAGGCCATCTTCTCCAGTTGCTGAAGGTCTTGTGCTTGGCTGATCGACTTTGTCTTCACCTCTGATGAGTGTGTCTCTACAGCTCATTTTACTAACTGGAATATTCTATTATGTATTGTTAAAGTACTATTGCTACATAGAAGGACTGGCCAGAATAAAAAAAAATCTTAATGATAAAACCTTATTTTAGAAATACTGTCAGAATCAGAATCAGCTTTATTGGCCAGGTGTGTTGGACACATGAGGAATTTGACTCTGATACAGAGGCTCTCAATGTGTACATATAAGGCTGGTCTCTGATGGATAGCTACTGTTTCCTTCAGTTATTTGATGTCTCGTAGTGAGTCCTCTTGTTTTTCGTGTGAATACAACAAATATCCCTATTTGCATTATGCTAACAAAAGAATGAAAAATAAGTCAAATATTCATCTATCCAGAAATTTCCCCATAGTGGCCAATAGTGGAAATACACATGGTGACTGTGGTTCAGTGGGTAGAGCAGTTTTTTCCCAACCAGAGGGTTGGAGATTCACATCACGGTGCCTGCAGTCCGCAAGTCGAAGTGTCCTTGGGCAAGACACTGAACTCCCAAGTTGGCCCCGATGGTTAGAGCCATTGGTGTGAGTTGGCGCTGCAGATGGTTGCCTTGGTTCTGTACTGGAAACAAACTCATTGTGTGTGTAACATATCAAATCAAATCAAATCAAATTTTATTTGTATAGCGCCAAATCACAACAAATGTCATCTCAGGACACTTTACAAAGTAAGGTACTGTTATCAATATTATTACATAGGCAAAACCCAACAAATCCCCCTTGAGCAAGCACTTGGCGACAGTGGAGAGAAAAAACTCCCTTTAACGGAGGAAACCTCTGACAGACCTCGGCTCTTGGTGGGCGGCCTTCTGCCTTGACCAGTTGGGGTGAGTGGATAGAGGAGAGACAAAAGAAGAAAAGTAACAAGACAAAACAAACAATCAAACACTGATCAGGTCGCAGAGCTCCAGGGCCAGGGCTACCTGCATTAACAACATTATCGACTTGTGTGGGAGTAAAGTTAAGGTGGCCTCCTTCCACTGTGTAGGCAAACGGCACTGAAGTAGATAAAGATGGAATTATTTTCTGAAACTTGGTAACAGCATTGTCAGATAGACATCTGCTGTAGTGGAATTGTTTCCTACATAGAGTATAATCCATTAATGGAAATTCAAAAGTTATTAGAAAATGGTCAGACAGAAGAGGGTTTTGAGGAAAAACTATTAAGTGTTCAGTTTCGATGCCATATGTCAGAACAAGATCAAGAGTGTGATTAAAACATACTTGGCCAAATAAAGGTGATTATCTATTATTGTAATATTTAGACATTTGTCTCTTTACATCCTAGTGTGTGTGGCTAATCTCATTGGATACTACTGCATGGGACTTTCAATATTACCTTAAAATGCAGTCATCCCTAGTGTGATTGGCTGGACACCATTCAATCACACTAGGATAGCTTCTGTTGGATGGTTGCTATGTGACCTGGAAAGCCTTTTAAATATTTTTTCCCAGCCACAATTATGGTTAAATTAACGCTGGATTAATTAAAGCGCAATTGGTGTTTCATTAAGAAGTAACCCACCTTTGCCAGCTGTTTTCAGATTTTTGACTGCTAACGGAACCAAATCAATGCGTCTTTTTTCCGGTCGGACCGTAAACTACAGGGACATCCGTTATGGCTGGATAACGATGGCTTACCCCGAGTTTACATCGGAATAAACAAACTGGTATGATAGTAGATAGTAAGGTTACATCCCAGATATGTACATGGTTGCTTTCTTTATTACATTGCTAGATAAAATGGTTTGTGGCACAAACATTTGTTAATTAACTACCACTACAGTGGTAACATCACGTTAAAAGTTGGGTGTTGGAAAACATCGACAACAACGCTTACAGTTAAGCTTTTGAAATCATAAATCACAGGCCTTAAATTGGCAATTAATCAAGAGAAGAAGATCAAAGTCCACAGCTCAGTAAATAGGGATATCCCTCTGTTTAAGTAAATCTACTGAAGTCCCAAACTGTTCCAAAGCTAACGTGCTTGCGCGGTTGTGGCGATTGTTGTTGGCCAGAGATGCATTTGCCCTGCGTTAGTAAGTTTGTCAGACTGTGGAGATTAGGCTGGGTTGATTCACCATGCTTGTAGCTCTTTTTGCGATTCAAGAACAACAGGCCTTTTTTTCACAACAGACAGTTTGACTTTGCATAACAGGAAATGTATGAGTCCAATTAATAACATAAATGATTTTATTGAAGTGTCACAGTATGAAATGTAGGTTAACCACCATGCACAGTACTAGAACTCTGTACCTGGTCAGCCTAAAGGAAAGCACTCATAAATCCTGATGTGACAGGTCAAAATGTTTGCTGTGAATAAGTGTGTTTTGCACTTCATCTTGCTTATCTTCATTGGAAAAAAAATCAGAATTATTTATGTCAACTTGATAGTGAAGAAACTGAAATTATACAGTTTCATTGCTGTTGCACTGAAACCCTTATTTTTCCTCTACTCATTTTGACCATTAACTTTTAAGTAATACCTCCATAAGACATTGAGACTGCAACAATGGTGGAAAGTGCCTAAGTACATTTATTGAAGTATTGTACTCATGTTTTGAGGTACTTACACAGTTCTGCCAGTTTTCTTCTGCTGCTTATACTCAACTCTATTTCAGAGACAAATGCTGTACTCTTTATTCCACTTGCTAAATAGCCAATCCACATAATGAATACTTTTGGTACTTTATGTACATTTTAATGCATTTGTACTTTCACAGGGCTTTTAATTTAAACAGAGTGTTTGCTTGTAATTAAGTAAAAGCTCTGAGTACTTCTGCCAGCACCTCTGTCTAACAGAATACAATGGCAGACTAAAAATGTGTAGTATATGAAGAAAATCAAAATACAAGGCTTTTAGGTGAGTCTCAGACCTTGTGGCAAATAGAGTATGTGCAGCACAATATCAGAGTAACTCCATCATATTTGGCCTTATTTCTGCCTGTAACCTGATGTTTGTTTTTATGAACAGGTTGATGGCAACTCTTGCTCCTCCCATCCCATCTGCTCTTGCCTCATTGCTTTCCACATTGCTTCCCTGCGGTTTTGCTATAGGGCCTTCACGGCTCTGTGAGGGCAAGCTGGGGCTGTGGTGGGTGGGTCGTTCGCTGGAGGCTGGTTCGCTTCTAGGGAGAGAGGGGGACACAGAATGGGCATGGAAATATCACAGGGACCTGATGAATCACAGCCAAGAAGATGAACTCATGATGAAGTTCCAGAAAGGACAGACCAACAGCGCAGAGGCAGAAAAGGTAAACTGATTGCAAATTTTTAAAAAGAAGAGTACTGATTCATAGGATGCAAACGGGCCAAACTGCAACCTTTAAGATTAATGTCATTTTTGTTCATTTTGATTGCAATTTTGATTTTTTTCATTCATAAATTAACTCAGTTTTGATTTTACTTAATTTGGAATTCTAAATGTTAGATATTTTGTATCTTGTGCATATAAATTGAAAAGTGCTAAAACTGATTTTTTTTCCCCACAGAAGATGTAGACATATCACAATTGGAAAAGCTCAGGCATAAACATTGGTATCTTACATGCTGGCTCACATAAGACTTATTGGGACACTCAAGTATATCAAAATTGCACATACACTATATTGCCAAAAGTATTCGCTCATCTGCCTTCACATGCAGATGAACTTGAGTAACAACCAATTCTTAATCCATAGGGTTTAATATGATGTTGGCTCGCCCGCTGCAGCTATAACAGCTTCAACTCTTCTGGGAAGGCTGTCCACAAGGTTTAGGAGTGTGTTAATGGGAATTTTTGACCATTCTTCCAGAAGCGCATTTGTGAGGTCAGGCACTGATGTAGGACAAGAAGGCCTGGATTGCAGTCTCCACTTTAATTCATCCCAAAGGTGTTCTATCGGTTTGAGGTCAGGACTCTGTCCAGGCCAGTCAAGTTCTTCCACACCAAACCCACTCATCTGTGTCTTCATGGACCTTGCTTTGTGCACTGGTGCACAGTCATGTTGGAACAGGAATGGGCCATCCCCAAACTGTTCCCACAATGTTGGGAGCATGAAATTGTCCAAAATGTCTTGGTATGCTGAAGCATTAAGGGTTCCTTTCACTGGAACTAAGGGCCCAAGCCCAGCTCCTCCTCCACCAAACTTTACACTTGGTACAGTGCAGTCAGACAGGTACCGTTCTCCTGGCAGCCGCCAAACCCAGACTCATCAATCGGACTGCCAAACAGAGAAGTATGATTAATCTCTCCAGAGAACACGTCTCCACTGCTCTAGAGTCCAGTGGTGGCGTGCTTTACACCACTGCATCCGACGCTTTGCATTTCACTTGGTGATGTAAGGCTTGGATACAGCTGCTCGACCATGGAACCCCATTCCATGAAGCTCTCTACGCACTGTTTTTGAGCTAATCTGAAGGCCACACTATGCATCTCAGCATCCACTGTCCCTGCTCTGTGATTTTACGTGGCCTACCACTTCGTGGCTGAGTTGCTGTCATCCCAATCACTTCCACTTTGTTATAATACCACTAACAGTTGACTGTGGAATATTTAGTAGCGGGGAAATTTCACGACTAGACTTATTGCACAGGTGGCATCCTATCACAGTACCACGTGGAGTTCACTGAGCTCCTGACAGTGACCCATTCATTCACAAATGTTTGTAGAAGCGGTCTGCATGCCTAGGTGATTGATTGACACCTGTAACCATGGAAGTGATTGGAACACCTGAATTCAATGATTTGGATGGGTGAATGAATACTTTTGGCAATATAGTGTATATTAGTAATACCAGTGTTTTTCTTAATCTTAGTTAAAGGCTATATTCACATTGCCTGCTTTTTTAAAAAATTTGTCCAGGTGGCTCAGATGTGATCTTTGAACAAATCAAATTGGATTTAAACAAATCAGATCTGGGCCGCTTCCTTTTGTGGTTCTAGATCCAATTCATATCCGATCTCTGACTATGCAGTTTCGTGAAATTTCAGACAATGCTCTGAATTTGCTAAGATGTGTTTAGATTCGTATGTGATTTGCTGGTAAAATGTCTGAAAAAGAAGACTACTGCACACCAATGATTTTACCCTTACCATTAAGGACTGATCCTATGACAGATTTGTAAACAGTTTTTACTACAAACATAGCAATGTGCCCACAGAGAAATGGCTAACAGACTGATGTTTAGTAGATCTAATGTTTACTGTGGTCATCATTTAGGTTTAATGTGAAAGGATGCAAATATTGGGTATTTAGAATGAAACACAAAGTACAGCTAAGGATGACGAGAATAAACAAACTGTTGCTAGACAAACTGAAACTGTGACCTGATGATGGTGCTAAAGGAAAACAGTAGGATCACCTAAGTTATTACAGTTCATCTTGAGGAAACATGAATGTCTGAAGGAAAATTCATTGCAATTCCTCCAACAGTTGTTGAGACATATCACTCAAAACCACACATGTTGGCCTGATGTTGATCCTGGAGTAAAAGATCACCAAATTCAGCAGGTTTGACTGTACACACCTGGCAGTTCTATTTAATAGTTGAGACATATCAGTGGGGATCACAGCAGTGGACCAATAGATCCACCGCCATCCGTAAATCCTGTAGCATGTCTACAAGCATCACCATGTTAAACTGTCTTGCACATTGCCTCAGTGTTTACACCAAAGCTTCATTACCATTTTTCAGGTCTGTCTTGTAAACTCTTTCTTTCTTTCTTCCTGTAAACTCATAGTTTCCACTTCTTTCTTTAGTATGATGCTGCTGGCACTCTATTCAGCGCATGTACTTTTTAACATAATTTAGTTTTAACCGACATGGAGTTTTTCCCTTTAATGCTTAATGTACTGTGTTTGTTTATTTTCTTATTTTTAAGTATTTGTACTTATCAGGGAGTAAAAATAAAACGGTGTTTCAGTAGTTACATTTATCCTTAATATAGACGAGGCAGAGACACTGCAAAAATGACTAAATTCACCATTTAGAAGGCAACAGCCAAGTATCAGTCCAGCAGATTTAAGTCCCAGACCTGAATCCACCCTGTCTGACCGATGCAAAGACATCTCACTGTCGAGTCAAGCTTGACATCCTTCAGAATAATTTTACATTTGCCAGGAGGAGCAACGTCTTTTGTTGGAAACCATTTTGTCTCATTTACAGGCACCAGGAGCAGATTAAACACAAGCCTTTCTGCTTAATGAAGTGCCTACTCTGTGGGAAGCTAAAGAATCAGTCACTGTTGTTTCTACCAAGTATTCTACAGCAGGACACATGAGGAGAAAGAGCAGCTTCACAGATCAAAAAATAATTACAATAGTGCTGCAAAGAAATTCATTGCACTGTCTACCCAATTTATTTTAACTACAGTATGTACCAAGTGTGGACCGTCATTGTCGCTATTATGAATATTAATATAAAGACACATATTGTATTCAGGCACTTGACAATATTTTTTTTACCAGTGAATGTCTCATGATTTAGGCAGCATTATGATAAATGTTTTAATGTAAAACCTGATGTTGTGTTTTGTAGGCACTGACAGAGAGAGCGGCACATAAAGAAGCTCTACTGCAAAAAGATCCCTGGATCAAGTAAGGTGACACACTGCTTCACACCAGACCAAGTGGGCCTTTGTTGCCTCTTTATCTGATCCTTAGAGATCACTTAAGAACCATTTGTATGAACTGATTTGTTTTTAAGTAGCAGGTACGCAGGTAAGCTGGTTTCTGACAGCATGACCTGAAGCTCTGTGATGTGAACTTTTTCTTTTTACTCTTTGGTAGCAGTTTTGTGAGACCACAAATGGAGCTGAATGGCTGGCCTTATGCAGTAGTTTGGGGGCAATGATTGTGCTAATGATCAAATCTCAGAAACGTGTGCCTGAGAGTTGGTAATCATCAGGCTGACATGAGCAATTTATGACAAGTTGTGCAGCTGAAAGAGTTTGGTGAATCTGTATTTGAACACACTTGCCCGGGTTTGAGTCAGGGTTGCGTCAGGAAGGGCATCCGGTGTAAAACACGTGCTGAACTTCAACATGCGAGTGGTTAGTGTGACGATTCGCTGTGGCGACCCCTAAATGGGAAAAGCCGAAAGTGACATTCAGAGACATTTTTGTTTATTGACAGCATTCTAATTTATTTATAAAATGCACCCTGTCGTATTTCTCAGAGATATAACAGTATTTTCCTGAACTTATTTCTGTTGTTGTTCGTAGTGTTTTCAGTGTCCAGCATTTACCTCCATCTAGATGGAGACAGGCCTCTGATGTCTCACCAAAGAAAAATGAAAACTGGAGAACTAAAAACTGTAACATTGAGTTGTAAATATGCATATTGAGTTTTCATGAAGCAGACTGGGCTGGACAGCAGTATATCCCCATAGCCTATCAGTAGCTGGGATGCTAGCTACTAGGTAGAGCTAACATGGCATAGGGTGGGGAGAGTATGGACAGGAATGTTACGGCCTTTGTAACATCTTTATTTTAACAGCCCTTACTGTTAAGTCAGCATTGTGCTTTGTGTGTGGTTGCACTTTCTTCTGCTGCCAGCTTTGTCGCCTGCTCCAAGCTGTGTACTGTGTTGTGCCCCTATTTAAACACTGGCCTAGTTTTCTGCTCCAGAGAGTGAAACCGGAACAAATTACACCAGCACATTCTGGCAGCAAGTCTCCTGTGATGGGCCACAGGGAACAGTTGCTTTCACGTCATCTCCCCAAATAAAGTGCTAACTATTCTTATAATCATGTAGCTCATACCTTTATATTTGACCTCACATGCATTATATGAACTTAAAGTGTCTTTTATGTTCTTTTTTTTTATACAGTTGCATCGTTCTCATGTTACAACCCCATTCAGTTCAGTACTAACACATTACACAGAATACTGATAAGATACAAGTAAGCATTTAGTGCAGTTGTCTACACATTTAGGTTTAGTTTAAAATCTTAATGCATTTGTACTTTTTTTCCTCCCCCAGCTTTGCCTGTCAGGCACAAAGCAGAGCCCAGGAGAATGTGGCAGTGCAGTGTGCATGTAGCGGGGTGTGTGTGGGTGAGTGTGCGGAGGTATATCTGCGTGTGCGTCAGGTCATCCAGCCAGGATCAGAGCTGCTGTTGTATGATGGTATCGTGGGAAAAACCTGGAGAACAGATAGACCTGATGCACAGGATGACTCTCCTGCACAAAACAAAGGTAACAACAGCGATTACTACACAAGGGTGATTTAAAGTACAGACACAATGAAGGTCACTGATACATAAGCCTAAAGGATAAGTTCAGTCAGTTTGTGGTTTCACTTAAGTCAAGGGAAAATATTATTGTGTTGCCTCCACAAAGGTGTGGGACTGGGTTAGACTGGGTTTGTTTTGCAGCCTTTTGGTGTCAAAATCTGTCATCTAGTTTACTAACTATCTAAATCATCTCTAAAAGATGCACTTAAAAATCCAAACTCTGGATGGATTTTTATTAAAATGTGAACATGAGATCACGGTGTTGGCTGTGCTTCACCACAGGCTTGGCGATTTCATCTATGAGAATTAACGCTGTGCTTCAAGCCCGCAAAGGTCAGTTTGTCATCAATTAAGGGTTAAAGTTCACTTCATCTCAGAATCAGAATCAGATCAGAATCAGTTTATTGGCCAGGTGAGACTGAACCAAAACAGTAGTAAAAATCTGAGATAAACAAAAAAATATACTGTATTGTTGGGGTGAACTGTAGCGTGAGGTGATCTTGCTCTATGGCTTCATCACTACAAGTGCTACATTACACAGTCATTTGACTCTGTTAGTATACAAAACAGATGGATATGAAAATGATAATGAGACAATGTAATAATTAAATGAGTGTTAATTTAGCCCCTGGTTGTCTACCCCTTCTCACAGTCTGGCAATCTAAATGTGTGGTTATGCATTATTTATGAGTAAGGATTTTACTCCAAGTCCCCGTATTTAGCATTTAACACTCTTTAGTGCAATAGTGTGGCTCACTTCTGTTTTTAATTGTTTGTTGACAACAATAGCACAGAAGAATAAGCACAGCAGGCTGTGGATACACTTGTTAGTAGCATAAATTCATTATTGGTTTGGTCTGTTTGTGGGATTTGTTGACAACAATCAAAATAAAGAAAATTGTGGAACGATGTATAAACCCTTTTTATACTATAAGTAAGTACAGTGAAGTGCTCCTGAATAATGAAACAGACTGGTTGGTGCTTCAGTCCACTTCATAGTTATTCCTACTATCCACCTGGAGGAGCTAGAGGGACGTTTAGCTCCAGTGGAACTCAGTGGATTTACCTTTTGGCCACATTTTCAACAAGACCCAAGAAAACCTCAGTTACCACTCAGTGCTATATTTAAAGCCTCAGTAATAGTTAAATGAAACAGACTGTATATAAACACAGAGGTGTCAGGAAATGATGAGCACTGACTTCACTGATGAGCCCAGTGAAGCAGAAGGTCCACGTCGATATTATTTAACACTACTGACATCAGTTAGTTTTGGGTGACAGCTTTGTGAGCCAAAATCTCCCTCCCTGCTCAGCTGAAATGCACTGAAACTGGAGATAAAAGTGGGAGATAGATAATTAGAGGGTGAATCATTTCTGGTGAACATAAGATACACCAATTAAATTAAAAGAAAATCATGAAAGCACCTAGGTTATACAGGAATTACATGCTCTCCAGCTCTGCTAATCTTTTTTACTTATGATATGTGGAGTATTTGTGTTGTGACTGGTGGCTCTTTCAGGACCCTCATGAAGCAAATACCAAGCATCATCAAACTGTCAGTGGCTATGCTGTGGATATCTTAGTAACCTCTTGCTGCTGTAGAGTGCTTATTTGACCAGACTGAGCCTATAAATTAAGAAAACATCTGCAAAACAATTATGAATTCTAAATGAAAGACAATACGATAAGAAGCAATTGAGCCCTGTGGGGAGGGTTACAGTGTTATAGTAGCAAATATCTAGTTTCAGGGAGAAAAATTAAAGCTGGAATATGGGAAAGAAATATCATAACAAGTAGATAAATGCTTTAAAGTTGATAAAAGAATAATGAAACAGACAATCATATAGAATGTAATCAGCCAGAAATCCTTCCAGTAGAAAAACACATCATTAACATGGTAAACCTATTAAAAATCCTTTACACATATGAATATAAATTAAGGATGCACCAATACCACTTTTATTAGAACAAGTACGAGGACTAATAATATTGCAGTATATCATGTTCTTGTTAACTGTAATGTGACTCAGAGTACCCAGAGGAGTTTTCTGGCAAACCTGGGGTTATCTGGCTTTACGGAGCCCAACATTGGCCGTTCCGGATAACTGGTACCACGAAGCCGGTTGTCAAGTGGCTCAGTTAAGTCCAGGTTTTCCTCTCTGTTAATGTGAAAGAGGCAGAGTTGTTAATTAGAAGCAACATCCTCAGAACCATGAATGAAGTACTGAATATAATATGAGCAGTGATACCTAAGGGGAAGTATACTGTAGAAACTGTTTACAGTACAGAGGCTCTCGCACAATATAGTTTATTTTCATGCAACTTTAATTGTTTTCAAATAATATAATACAAATATATTGTAGTCAAACCTAAAAAGTGTTTTTTGCCTGAAACTGTTGTGTGATTTGTGTGAGCATGTGCAATCTGTTAAAGATGCACCTACAGCTGCTGTTGTTGGCATAAAACTGTCATATGGTGCAAAACTAGAGAGCATGCATCTCTGTGGTGCCACAAAGTGTCTTTGTGATACTTCTCCCCCCAGTTTTGTAGGAATGCAACAAATTATTATTTTCATTATTCATCATTTAATTATTTAATAATGATTAATAAAATGACACATAAAAATGTCCATCACAACCTGAGGTGATGTTTTCTTCAACAGTCCACAGTCTAGAAATATTCTGTTTTCAATTAAACAAACCAAAAACAACATTTTAGAAGTTGATTTGGAATTTTTCATGATAAATGACTGATTAATGATTAACTAATTATTAGAATTGTTGCAGATTCTTTTTCTGCTGCTCTGCTAACCTTTTCACACTGCTTCACTCAACATTTTTTTTTAAATTTTTTTACTGGACAGATTGCGACTTGGAACATATCAAAGACCCAGAGGCCATAATTACCAACATATCAGTCATTCAAGAAGAGGACACAGATGCCAAACACAAGGAGGATGACGAGGAGGAAGGACACAGAAACACCTGCAGATACATCAAGCGGAGTCATCGAGTCACACGCAGGAGGAAGGGACTTGAGAAAATCCTTTCTGAGCCGAGTCCAGACAGTGACAGGCAGCAAGATACCCGCACTGGCACACAGTCAGACACAACACACATAAATAACATCACCACAGGAGGTGGACACACAGATAGTACAGGTGGTGTTGAGGCTGCTGGGACACAATCTCGAGGCCTCTCTGAACCCCCAGCTGTCCGCAGCAGCTCCCGCCTGGCTGGTAAACCACGACAGGTTCACTGTCTGACCAGCCGGATGAAAAGACCCCCTGCCCGCTCTGACCCACTCCAACACACAGAGGGACAAAGGCAGGGCTCCTCTGCGAGTGCCGTGTCTGTTCCAGAGAAGGTGCTTTCTATGAGGACAGTACACCCTGAGGCTGTCGCAGCAACAAGTGCTGCTGGGGTGACACCTGCATGGCATCCAGAGAACAGAGAGAGGCGGTACAGATGTTCCAGCTGTGGTAAAAGGTTCTACCAGCTCAGTCACTTGAAGAAGCATCACTTTAGTCACACAGAGGAGAAGCCATTCACTTGCCCAGAGTGTGGGAAAAGCTACACCTCTGCAGAAAGCTTCAGAGCCCATCAGGTAGGGGATGTGATTGGATGACCGAGCAGATTAACTAGTGAAACAATTTTATTAATTGTTTCTTGTTCACTTCTTTTTATTTTTTCTTTCTTTCCCTCCTTCTTGTTTTTTTTTTATCTTTATTGATAGATGATTTTTTTTTACATACTGTATAAGACAGCTCAGTCAGGCATTTTCATTAACAACCCCTTAAAATTGTTTGTTAAAAGGTTGTGACTAAAAAAAGTTCTGAGTAGGATATTTTATTGTTGGAAATACACTTTAAAGCACACTAATAGTAAGGTAACAATAAATGCCACTGGAATTTAAATTAGCATAATTTATAGTGATTCTAATCAAAATACATAAAAAATATGGATGTTACAAAAGAAAAATAAGTCCTGCAAATTAACAAAATGCAGCCTAAAAAAAGTTCTACTATATTATAGAGTACTCTTTTGGGTTATGAACATGATTTGACACATTTTATTGATAAATTTTATCCTGGTTTGTTTCTCTTTTTTCAGACATTGTAGGTGCATTTACAATTAGAGCCTGTTACGCTCCTGTCTAGAGGGTGTTGGAGTGCAACTTAAGGAATTTAGCTTCTTTCCGCGTGAAAGATTTATTACTTCAAAAATAAGTGAACCAAGTGAGATAATGCAAAATGAAGAAAGATACCTCAGGATACCCTCTACCTTTAAAAGGTGCTGACTAAACTCTGAATTATGTGAAACAAAAAGAACAAAAAACATTCATCAGAAAAAGGGAGAAAACAAGTCCAAATTTAATGGCAGTCCATCCTTAGCGATTCTGTGATCATTTACAAGACAAAACACCACAATTACTATGTACACCCTACATACAAAGAAATTAGCACTGTCACATGATAGGGCACGAGCACAGGTTTGAAGGCCGAGGACAGAAGACGGCGCCACTGTCAGAGCTGCCCCCGTACTGCTGGAACCCAGCTTTCTTAATGGGAATGCTGACAGTCGGTCCAAGCAAATGCAGCCACCTTCCCTGCCACTAGCCAATCACGCTGTGACACGAAAATCAATTAGAAAGCAGAACACTCGCTCTCACACCAACAATGTCAACCCAAAACACACAGTGAAACTACACAAGCAAACAAATTGGCCATAAGAGAGCCCAATATATTGTCAGCATTTTTTAACTCAAATATTTGTATCGGCCTCAAAAATCCAGTGTCAATATTTGAGTTTAACAAAAATTTACTGGTCTAGCCACAGGGGTTGCAAACCAGTGACTTGTGTGCCGGTCCCAAGCCCGGATAAATAAAGAGGGTTGCGCCAGGAAGGGCATCCGGCGTAAAAACATGCCAAATTTAAACATACGAATCATCAGTGTGAACTCCACACAGGACAGATGGTGGTGGACTTTGCTAAGAGGATGGAAATGGCTGTAGTTAACACCTATTTCCAGAAGAGGGAGGAACATAGTTACATATAAGAGTGGAGGTAGGAGTACGCAGGTAGACTACATTCTATGTAGACGAGGCAATCTGAGAGAGATTAGTGACTGCAAAGTGGTGGTAGGAGAAAGTGTAGCCAGACAGCAT